GACTCTAGAACTCTTCGCGACTCCATGCATATATAGTCTACTTATCATTTAAAAGCGTTATGTATTTAAAAACTCGTCATATTGTGCCAGCATCTCACTATGGTATATAATTTCTATTTATTATTACTACTTATAATTATTAAAAAAGTGCTAGAGGCTAGAACTCTTTGGGTCTCATCGCAGAGGAGCCAAGGTATCATTTAGAGGCATTATATATTTTGGAATTCATCATAATGTGCCAGTATCTCACTTTGATTTATAATTTCTGTTTGTTATTATTACGTACTATTATTGAAAATGTGCTAGAGGCTAGAAATCTTTAGGAATCAATGCAGGCGGTCAAAATATCATTTAAATGCATTAATATGTTCTATAAATCGTCATAATATGACAGCATCTCAATAAAGTCTATAATTTCTGTTTATTATTAATACTTAAAATTATTCAAAAATGCTAGGGGCTAGAACTCTTCGCGACTCCATGCAGAGATAGTCTAGTTATCATTTAAAAGCGTTATAAATTTCAGAACTCGTTATAATGTGCCAGCATCTCACTATAGTCTATAATTTCTGTTTATTATTTATAATTAAAATTATTCAAAAAGTGCTTGAGGATAGAATTCCTCCCAGTTCTATGCAAAGATAGTCTATATGTTATTTAAAAGTATTATATAGTCTATAACTCGTCATAATGTGCCAGCATTTCATGATGGTGGTCTATAATTTCTGTTACATTAAATTATTAAAAACATGCTAGAGGCTAGAAATATTTGGGAATCAATGCAAAGGCGGTCAAAATATCATTTAAATGCATTATATGTTCTATAAATCGTCATAATATGACAGCTCACTATAGTCTATAATATTTGTTTGTTATTAATAATTAAAATTATTAAAAAAGTATTAGAGTCTAGAATTCTTTGGGTCTTAATGGAAAAAAAATTCTGTTATCATTAAGAAGCCATAAATATTCTAGAACTCGTTATAATATGACAGCATCTCACTAAAGTCTATAATTTTTGATTAATATATTTTTTTTGTGTTTATCATCGGCTTCAACTGCTAAGGTTATTTCGCCTCGTGTTCTGTGTAGGCTTTGTTACTGTTTCCCAGCGCCACTTTAGGAACAGCACTGTTAATTAGAACCCAACAGTGAATGGTCGAGTGGGGAGTCCTACCAAGGCATCAGCATTAATTTTAAATAATTACATTAAATGAAAAAATTCCGGCCAACGGTAGGATTCGAACCTGGGACCCTTGGATCCACAGGCAGAGACTCTACCACTGAGCCACCCACCCCTACAAAATTAATATATTATTACTTAAAATTATTGACAAAGTGCTAGAGGCTAGAATTATTTGGGTCTTAATGCAAATAGAATTATTTTATCATTTAAAAGCATTATGTATTCTATAACTTGTCAAAATGTGCTAGCATCTCACTATGGTCTATATTTTATGTTTGTTATTTATACATTAAATTATTCAAAAAGTTCTAGAGGCTAGAACTCTTCGGGATTCCATGCAGAGAGAATCAAGTTATCATTTAGAAGTAATGTATATTTTAGAACTCGTCATAATATGGCAGCATCTCACTATGGTCTTTAATTTCTATTTATTAATAATACTTAAAAAATTTAAAAAAATGCTAGATTCTAGAACTGAATGGGTTTCAATGTCAAGTTATTATTTAGAAGCATTGTAATTTAGGAGCAATATGTGTTCTAAAAGTTGTCATACATATGAGAGCATTTTACTACCTCCTAGAATTTATATGTATAGTCATTACTAATAATTATTTAAAGAGTGCCAGAACTGTAAATGAAAATAATTTAGCTATTTAAACGAACAAGAACTCTTCGTAAACTATCGATTAACAGTCTGATTTTTTAAATTTTATTTAATTTATTATATTGGGATGCTAACTTCCGGTCGTTAGCATCTTTAAATTGCATTTTTCGGTACTAAATTCGACAGAACTATTGATAGAAAGTATCAGGAACTATAGAATTATATCGGATGCCATGAGAACTCCGCTCAAAATATGAGATGCTAAGATTTGAGATGCTAACTTCACACACCCACTGAAGTTTCATTTTTAATTTTACTATATCTAGTCTGGAACCCGGAGGTTTCTAGACACCGAATTTCTTACAGTCACCAAATAAAGCTAGTAGAAGAATCCAACCAGTGCATCTCTTTGAGTTTAAAACACCTGGAGACTCAACTCATGGTTAACAGCCAGAAGACCTGGTAAAACAGATAAGAATAATATTAAAGTACTAACTTTATTTATACCTAATTATTTTTTTTCTCATTTGTCTTTTCACCCGATTGGTGTTCATATACTACCTATTTGCATTGATTTTATAAAATTTATTGTACCAATTAATCTAATTTTATTAGTATTATTTATTGACTATACTTATTTCTAGAAATAAACTACATCCTACCGTAGGTTGTTGCAGCATTTACTAAACTTAATTCATTGCTTTACATGGGTACCAACGAGAAGCTCTTCAAGCCTTTAAATCATCAGATCATCTTCGATTTGTGATTGCTTTTCAAACTACCTAAAATTATTTATATTTATATAAAATAATAATTAATTTATATAATTACTTACATGTTTTTAATCCATTTGTGCTTATTTATTTGAAACCATAAAACATATATCTACTCTCATCACTTAATAGAAAATATTCCGCACTATTTTTGTTTTCTTAAAAGAACCCGAATCTATTTTAAAAGCAACCAAACTGTTTTTAATCCAGTACACATCACTTAAAATCATTTTTCTTTGGGACCGAAGTATAATATGCCAGTCAAATACATCACAATTTAACCACACATTATTTCAGCTCGCGAATACAATAGATGTATGTCCAATACCTTGCCAACAAATTTTAAAAAAGATAGACTATTAAGTATTTTTACCCACTATTCGTTTGCGATCCAAGTAGCGTCAGGAGAAGAAAAACATTCAAGTTAATGATGCCGTCATTGTTGTGGACTATCAGTCCGCGGAGAGGACGCACAAATTAGAGTTGCTGACGTTAAGACTATTAATGGAACCTTTAGATGACTATTTTCAAAACTATACGTGTTAGATGTTTCTCAAAAATGAAGTCCTTATTTGGAGCCAGAGAATATGTTATTGTTTATTTTTAGTTATTTTGTATTTTTTCAGGTTCTATTTTGTTAAACATGCTACATATAGCACTGGAAAAAATTCAACTTGTTAAATAAAAAATATAAAAAGTCATATTGTCAAAATAGGTTTACTGCAATTTACGACCGATGCCAGCTTACATATCACATACTTCGGTAATCAAGGTATGTGTTACATATTCACATGGTGCGTTTGATTTGATCATTGGAGATCTCCGAGGGTTTGTTTTTCTGTTTCGCTTTGAAGCGAGAACATAGTGCGAGTTCGATGTTTTCAGAGCAGCAGGACCGAGAAGAGGGAGAAATTTGTCTTTGTCTCTTTTTAATTAACTTAAAAACAAACTTGACTCTCAAAGTTCGAGACCAGACAAGAAGTCAACAAATTACTTAGCCCATTTAGTCTTTTAGCTACAATTATTGATCATAAATATATTTTCTCTGTTCAGGGTAGCTATTCGAGAAAGTAAAAAACCGGTTTTTCCTCTTTGTCTGCAACGCACAAAATTTGTATTTTTGTCTCATTCTTCCCTTAAAATTTCTACTCTCTAAGATTCAAGAATAGATACCTTGATCTAATCACCAGTAATCATGGTCATGGAGTTTGAAAGCGAATCGGGCATTTGTGGAATGTGCTGCATTTCAGGGCCATCGCCCCTTATTATTAAAAGTTTTTCCATTTTCTTCACTTTTTGCTAACTGTTTTGACACACAAACCAAAAACAAGAACCACAAAAAAGCGAGGTTGTGTTTTTTACTCCGTCTTATTTGATTTGATTCAATGCTCTATTGTGGCGTCATAACTTCTCGATCTCCTAGATGCTCGCTCAATCGAATTTCAAATCAAACGATCCTGCAGCGGACTGCTGCAAAATCATTATCCGTCACCGTTTAAAAGTGAAAATTATAGATCTCCGAAACCATAGATACAGCATCGTATACATTTTAGACCCCTACCACCCCTAACATAATGGTCGCTTTGATAACTATAATTAATTTAATTTTAAGCTATTGCATAGCTTTTATCGCGGGCTTCGATTGCGGCGACCGAGTCAAGAAATTCCGTAACGACCGTAACGAAAAAAAAACCTAACAACCCCCACTTCGACCGGCACAGCGGTGCGGCGTTAAACAATATTAAATTCTCATTTATTTAATAAAAGAAAATCGAAAAATCGATTTTTCGAATTTTTGATTTTTCGATTTTTCGATTTTTCGATTTTTCGACTTTTCGATTTTTCGATTTTTCGATTTTTCGATTTTTCGATTTCTCGATTTTTCGATTTTTCCATTTTTCGATTTTTCGATTTTTCGATTTTTCGATGTTTCGATGATTCGATTTTTCGATTTTTCGATTTTTCGATTTTTCGATTTTTCGATTTTTCACGCACGCACGCACGCACGCACGCACGCACGCACGCACGCACGCACGCACGCACGCACGCACGCACGCACGCACGCACGCACGCACGCACGCACGCACGCACGCACGCACGCACGCACGCACGCACGCACGCACACACGCACGCACGCACACACACGAACACACCCGCACACACCGGCACACGCGCGCGCGCGCACACACACACACACACACACACACACACACACACACACACACCAAAACGTAAAAATCCGTCGAAAACTCGAGGTCGAAAAAAATCATGATTCCAATACAGATAGGAAAGTAAAAATAAAATCATTAACAAATATAGGATACTGACAAAACTTTATCCCCTGGTCTGACAAATCTCTGCAATACATCTTAAACTAAGAATTTTGAATTTTTCCTTCTAAACTATTTTAATTTGTATATTTGACAAACTCTTTCAGGTGCTCGAGTCATTTTGGCGTGCAGAAATCTAGAAAAAGCTCAAGAAGCCATAGACGAAATTAAAAAACAATGCGAAAGCAAAGAAAATCTAGGTGAGCTTGCATTGTCCAAATTGGATTTGTCAAGTCTAAAATCGGTCCGAGCTTGCGCAGAAGAGCTACTTAAAAACGAGAAGGAAATCAATATTTTATTAAACAACGCCGGAGTAATGATGATACAAGAATTAACAAGAACTGAAGATGGACACGAGATGCAGTTTGGTACTAACCATTTGGGACACTTTTTGTTTACACTACTGTTGATGCCGAAATTGATACAAAGCACTCCAGTGAGAATCGTCAATGTTTCCTCGGCGGCACATTTTCGTAAGTTATACTATCAATAAAAGTGTGATAAATGAAGATATAAATAAGTTAACCTTGGCTTTAATTTTTTGTCATTTGACACCTTATGATGCCTGCCATCAAAACTAGTTTCATGGACTAAGGATTAATTTTGTTGAAACATAAATTATTTTAAACTAAGTACTTATCAGCTAAAGTCAATCCATCGTTCTTCATTAGATTGTTCTGACTACTATATACAAGTCACTCGCGCACTATTCATGCTGTACTTTCACATATACATATACAACACACTACACGAGATAAAATGGCTTGGTGTTCTTGAATCGTCGGACATGGACATAATTATCCAGAAGCTGAAAAGATTCTGCATTGGAACGTAGGTGAAGTCTGGCTTCATGCTTTTCAGTAAACCTTTTTATTTCTTTTTTCTCTGTTGGAATCCTAAGATTTCGATAAAGATCTGCATTGCGCACATACTAAGAAGCTTTTACTATGTGCGCGATACTTTGTTCTAAAAAGTTTGGATAGACTTAATGTAGTTATCTCTGGCACATCCCCATAATTGAATGTCTTTGGCAACATTATTACTTCTGCAACATTCCAGCATGCACTATATATAATCTATAAGCTGTATTAAACAAGTATGTCAGCATGACAATAGCTTTTCTAGACACGATTTTACTAGTAATTAAATCGAAGCATGGTGATTTCTTTGCATTAAGGTTAGTTTTAATCTCTACTGGTACTTCTTTCGGTGTAACAAGGATGATGTTTTCGAATTTTTGATTGTCTATTGTAGGCAAACTAGTTTCTTCATATATCTGATTGGGTGTAAAAGTGTCTAGCAAAGATTCAGCAAACAAGTCTGCTTTCTGTTTATTGTCCCTGTCCCATACTCCGTTATCCCTTCTAACAGGTATTTTAATTTTTCTTGTGGCTTTCCACAGAGAGTAATCTGTGTTCTCATCTGGTGAGTGGTTCTGTAGGTATCAGTTTGTTGATTCTTCTCAGTTTTTAAGTTTTATTGTTTAAAATGGATTTATCAGATGTGTCTTCAGATTGTTTCCATCTTCATGCTTTAATTTTTTTTCTTACAAGTTATCTAATCTCAATCAGGTAGTTTATTCCCTTTGATAAATGGGTAATTTTTTTAATATTATTATAAGCAGCTGTTTGGAATAATTTTATTAAAGTTTGCAGCTTCCTCATTATATTGTTTCATATATTCAGATTGATCTTGTTTTCAAGTTACATTATGAAGATTTTCCACTCAGTAGTTTAATTGGTAAGAGTAGCTTAGGTTGGTCTTTTAATAATGGTTTCACTCAAGGTCAGTATTACACCTGAACGATCAGAGTCTAAATCAAAATTTTCTTCAACTTCAATAAAATTAGAAAAAACTTTTCAGGGATTTTGTTGGGATCCGTGGACCAGTAGGCATGTTTACCTGTAGAGTGATAATTGCAATTCTTTTAACGGTTAGCTATACCTTTGATCGTAGTTAGTCTGGATCTCCAATCAAAATGTTTAGCGTTGTCTCCTCCAACGATAAACCTCTCTTTAAGATGTTGCAGAAGGATTAGATTGGCTTCTTCCTTAAGATTGTGCCTGGGTGGACAGTAGACTGCACCAATTTTTAATTTCTATTTTGTAGAATTAATGCCTACCAGTTGAATATCTACTCGTTATAAGTGACATTATTTAAAATGATGAATTGATTCCTTAATTATAACGGCACTTCCACCTTTAGTTTGATCGTCTGGATGAATAGTATGATATATTTTATAACTGCTTATCTTGATATAAAACTAACTTGTCATATGTGTCTCAGATATAAGACATATGCTGGGTGTTAAGGAAGTCTTCTAAGTCATATTTTTTGTTGAGAATGCCATTAACATTCCATGTAGCGATTCTTAGAGCTTTAAATGTCATAAAATTTACTTTTTTGGTAAAGCTCCAGTACTTCAGTATTTGATTGACTCGTTTTTATGATAGTCTATTTAAGTTGAAATGTAGGTAGTTAAATCTGTCGATTATGAAGCAGACGAGGGTTCTACTAGTACATTTTGGGCACTTTTGATTGGGTAGTAGGTTTCTTGGAGTTTCAGACAATATATCTTTTTTACTCTAGCTCTTTACTAATAGTACATACTCTGTAATTTGCAGGATGAGCATCTGAGCAGTTGATATTATTGACTGTGGTTCTATTAAGTTTCTGAATTACTTCCTTAATTTTTAAACAAATTTCCTTCAATTCTTTGGCGATATCTTTTGCAGAAGTTGACGGTTGCAAATTTATCACCATTACTTTGATAGATCTGGTAGCTTTGTTCTCGTATGAGTGCCACTGGAAGTCAGCCCCATTTATTAGGGCTGTTAATGTTTTATATCCTTCATCTAAGCTGACATTAATTTTAATGTGTTGGTTATGCATCATACTTGCCTTGTGTTAAAAAATTCCAAATTTCTAGTTTCTCATTGACTACATTATAGTCTATTATATTGCTTAAAATGGCCAGTGGTGACTTAACGGCTGTAAAAGTTCTAGTTTTTTCTTTTTTAGGACTTTCTTCGACTTTCTCCGGTGGTTTTGTTGCTTTACGTTTTTCATTATTTGTGGATTTAGGAAAAAGCCAATTCATTTCTCTGACGACTCATTATCTGAATTGAATGATCTAAAATTAGTTAATTTTTGTGTTTTCTTTCTTCTTTAACTGTGCTAAAACCTTATTTTGCTCCTGCAATGTTTTATTTTGTTCTCTTAATACTTTATTCTCATTCAAAGCTTGCTGCAGCTGAAATTGTAGATTTGAGAGTCTCATTTTCTAGTTTATTTAAAATCGGTATTTTCTACACTTATTTTATTGACGAAATGTTTTTTGATATCTTAAACGTTTCTAGTCTAGTTTATGTATTCTGGACCACAATCAATTTAACTAAATTAATAAATTCCAGAATTTTTCAAATTCAATTTGTGGATTGCTCTTTTTTTAAAATATATTAACTTAAATATATAAAAAATATTTTGGAAATTTGTGATATATTTTTATTTTGATTAAAAAAAAGATCCAGCCAAATAATTTCTCATTATTGTATGTTGTTTAAAAAATTATTTCCTAGATAAAAAAAGACACATTAGTGAGAGCCATGTATTCTTGTAAAATGAACTTGCCAAAGTTGCTAAAATGTAGAACTCTCTTCAGTAAAAAGTTTTCTTGGTTATACTTGATCATATACATATAAATAATTATTTTAATAATATTAAATAAAGAGTAATTAGTTTTGTTTTGATTGGTCGATTTTAATTTATGTTTTAGTCACGTTTTCTTTGGATCTAGACGACTTGAACTTTGAAAACAGAAAATACGGTGCCCTGAAAGCCTATGTTCAAAGCAAACTTAGCAATATACTTTTTACTACAGAACTAGCTAACAAGTTAAAAGGTAAGTTTTGAAAAATCATACGTAAAAAGACATTTTTTAAAAATACACGTAAAACCTTCCAATGCTCCAAATGCTGCCATTTGTGGTTAGACTTTATTGCATTTAAATTAGTTATTTAGAATAAGAAAAAATAAATAATGTAACCACTGTTGTTGGTTTTACAATTTAAGTGATTAAAGCTCATTAGTAAGGATAGTGGATTAGGCTCTAGGATATAATAACTCAATTACCATGAAAATAAAGTTGGGCAACACCACATTTAAATTCACATGTCCTCTAAGTATAAAAGTATTTGATAAAAATACGGAAACAAAAATTACTATTAAATTTTAATGAAAATAAAGGATATGCCTCTAGAAGATACAGTAAAATCAAATACTTATCTACGAGAGTTTTTAATAATAAAATGTAAAATGTGCAATGTAAAATTGACTTATCTCAACAGGTCTCATTTAAGATAAAAGTCTCCAAACAGCCTCTTATACTCCCTAGGTCCTCAAGACGTTAATTACTATCCAAATCAGCAAATCCTTGTAGCCTTCAAATAGTTCAGCCTTCTGGACGCCAATCATTCATTATTCTTTTTAAGACCTCAAGTCGTTAATTACTATCCAAATCAACAAATTCTTGTTCATATTACCAAGTATTCTTTAAAATATCACAAAATAAAAAACACCCAAATCATTCTTACCAAGTAAAAAACTTCTAAATCATTCTTCGTATGACAAGATAAAAAACATCTAAATCATTCTTCTATTACCAAGTAAAAAACTATTCAAATATTGTCAAGCTAAAAGATTTCGACCCGGATAGGTAGGACGGATGGGACGAACGTAAATTAAGCTGTTCAACATTAATCTGACCTTAACGTGCTTGTCGTACAACGATGCCAGGCATAACATATTTACTCTATACTCGCTCCGAATATATTTGCTCGAAGGGTACTATGCTCTTAACGTACACAGTCATTTAGCTGTAATGAAATTGAACGCATCACTTTTTTTGCAGTTTGACAACTGTGTTTTCTAAGTATGAACGTCGGCAGTGTCTTTGTGAATTGTGTAATAGTAAAATTTAACTGTGCCGTCAAATTATACATCACATTTAGAAAATAGTAGAAGAGCATTCAAGATATTGAGTATACTTATTTTATGTTTACTTCCCTCGATAAAAGAGAAGTATTTTAATCGTGAAAATTTAAATTTTCACGTTTTCGGGTCCCTAGAATACGAAAAACATATTTTCCCCATTCCGTCGGTCTGTCTGTCGTCCGCCGTCTGTTGCCTGCTGTCTCTCTATTGGCGCAATAACTCAAAAACGGCTTAAGAGAAATAATTAATTTTTTAAAGTCAGCAGATTTCGACTAAAATTAGTTTCTGATAAAATTGGTATATGATCAAACATAACAGATCATGAATTACTTTTTAAAAATTCAAAATGGCTTCCCTGTTTTAACAATTTATAAAGGGTGATTTTTAATGGTACGCTAATATTGTAGCATGCCAAGGCAAATAAAAGTTTGCATAAGGGCTAGAGGTGGTAACAGGGATTGCTAAAATTACCAATTTTCTTTTTTTGCTTTTTGTTTATTAAAAACTTAAATCTCAATTTATTTCAGAAACCAAAACAATACCATTGTGTTTGTTTTGTCAATTAATTAATTATTTTTATTGCCATGTGGGTTATTTATTATTAAACGTCTTTGGTAAAGACTTGAGTCTTATTCATAAACAAAAAATGTTTATACATCTCAAAAATTATGAAAAATAATAGATAATTCCATATAAGTTTGGTTGTGTGTATTTACTACTTGTAGGCGGTTATTGTAGTCGATTAAGTAAACGTCCTTGTTTATCTAAAGACACGCTCAATGTTAAGATGACATTGTTCGGTAGTTTCATAAGTATTTAATTTCGACAACAAATACAACGTCAATATGGTTATAGTCGCCAAAATACTACTTGGGAGGGCAGCTACTGGCCTAATCTAAATTTTCCTAAAGCTCCTTTACCAATAGGCCAGTAAATTTCTAAAAACGTTACGTCATAGCAAAATATATTATACTGTAAAAGCAGTGAATTGTTTAAACGTAGTCGTGTTGATAATCGGTTTTAACCAAAACAATTCATCGTATTGTATTATAATTTTAAAATGAATATGATTATATCGTCACTTATTTACAGATTTTTTTTGATTACGAAATCATAACGGTTTTAGAAATATTTTATAATTGCGCAGAATAATATGCGCATAAATAGACATTTATAAACCAGTTGTACCGAATCGATTATTTTCAAACATTTTTAAACGTGGAGATATCCAGAAAACAAAACTATAAGCACTAATGTGAGGTTATGAGCCCCCTAGTTTTGTTTTCTTGACACAAATATTTGTAGGCCCTCTTGGCGCACACTTGTTTGTTATTACCAAAGGATTATTTTTTTGGAGCCTCTGTTGACGAGTAGAGCACTGTTGATGGGCATAATAGCCGAAATCATTTAAAAATTTATAAATAAAATTTACTTTACACGAAATACAAATATTTTCTTTGATTAGTAGGGTAATAATTATTGCCTTAAAGAGCGATATCTCATTATTTTGGCAAATTAAATAATAGTTTGTATTATTATTATTATTATTTTTTTTTCCAGAAAATAAAATTGAAGGCATCAACGTCTACTGCCTACACCCAGGTTCAATAAATACCGACCTTACGAGACACGTCGAGGGAAACCCGTTTCTGAATATTTCAAAACTATTCTTTAAAACACCGGAAGAGGGTGCTCAAACATCGATATACTGCTCGACGCATGAAAAATGCGCCAACGAAACTGGGTTGTACTACGCCGAGTGCAAACCATGTTGTTCATCGAAAACATCCCAAAACAAAGAACTGGCTAAAAAATTGTGGTTGATTAGTTTAAAAATGGTGGGATTGAATGAGGATTATGATCCATTTAAATCGTCAACAAATTTGTAATTTTTTAGTACGGGAATATATTTTTATTTACAGGTAGTATTGGAACACTTTTAAGAATATTAAATAGTTTTTAGGAAATGGGATGTACATATTTTTTATAAATACGGTAAAAATGAGTAGACAAATGCTTAATAAAACTTTACGAATTCAATTTAGTGGTATTGTTATAATAGAAATCATATAAATTTTGTTTTCCCCTCGGACTACTACCTTGTAATTATCCAGGATCCTTAGGGCTGCAGTTGCGCCTACGACTTTTTACTCATTCGCTCCACGTATTAGGTGTAAGGTGCCGGTCATCCATCGACTCTAGATTTAAAGCTTACACAAAAAGCGCCTAATATTGGATAATATATTTTTTAATGTCAATTTTCATTAAAATGAACCCTACGTTATAGCGTATTCATGTATTATCTATTACTTAAGATGTGCAGCAAAGGAATAAAAGTATTCTTCGAGAAATACTTAATATATATATATATATATATATATATATATATATATATATATATATATATATATATATATATATATATATATGTATCTACTTAAGTTGGAACCATATGGAAAACATTTTTATTATTGATTTTAGGAAAAAAAGTTATTCTTGATAAAAGGTCCTTCATGACCCAAAACCTAAAATACAGTCATCACAATAAATTTTTCAAGACGTATACGAGGTTTGTCAAAAAATATGAACTTTGCTCAAGAGTAAAGTACGTTTATTTTTGACAAAATCGAAAATTTTCATTAAGAAAAGTTGATTAGAATTAAATATTACATTTAAATATGCAATTACACCGATCAATCTGAAAAAACAGATTTTCTTATTTTTTATAAACTCTACACTCTACACATTGATTGTAAATATCTGAAAACGTTATAAATTACGTTAGCTACTATAAACATGATACGCTTTCCTTTTGTTGATGTTTGTGAAGAATTTAGCAAATTTCTTAATGAAAATTTTCGATTTTGTAAAAAAATAAACGTACTTTACTCTTGAGCAAAATTCATATTTTTTGACAAACCTCGTATACGGCTTAAAAAATTTGATATCTGATGACTGTATTTTAAGTTTTGGGTCATGCAGGACTTTTTATCAAGAATAACTTTTTTTCCTAAAATCAATATTAAAAATGTTTTCCATATGGTTCCAACTTAAGTAGACACACTGTATATAAATAATAAGTAGCTTATTATAGCGTTAAGCGCCAAGATGTATTTGAAGAAATTTTCTTGCTGGGCCAAACGGTTTTTATTCTTCTAAATAATGTTGTGGGCCAATCTATATACCCAGAGGCTAAATTTATCTCAATAACTTAATTAATAACAATTAAAAAAAAATTATGGCGGGCCGAGGGGACCGCTGTGGCCCTGCACTAGAATTTTTTGTACTAGGCCAAAGCGGTCCATAGTGGATGTCGATGGAATAAGTCACACGTAGAATTGTGATATTGTCAGTCATTTGTCGTTTGTTTTAGTTGCCTCTACGCAGCGGTAAGGGTGTGTTCGCGCGAAGCGCGCAAGTGATATTTTGTACACGTGTTATTTCGAGATTTTCAACGGAAAATCATGACGTCTCGCGGCAAGCGAATGGTTGCTATAGCACAATCAAATAATTACGAAGGTAAATATGTTTACTTATTTTGTTCAGCTGTTTATTTACTAAAAGCAAGCAAATGATTTAAATTTACATATGTTTTGTTGCAGATTCAGATTCAGAGCCTTACTCATCTGATTCCTTGATGGACCCAAACTACAACTGCAATATTGAGCAAGGTAGTTCTTCGGACAGTTCAACACACACGGACCCTCCCAGACGTAAAAAGCCCGTAGTTAGGGCAAGTCATCCAAGTATTCCTGCAAAGTGTTTGCCGGACCAAAATGGGGAAAATAGAAATATTTCAAATCAGGGACTTGCAAGTGAACAATTCGCAGCAGAAAATAAGGAAGTTGTGGCAGGTCTTCCAAGTATTTCTACACAGTGTTCGTCGGAATAAAATTTTTCAGATCAGGGATTTACAACTGAACCATTTCTGCCTGAAAATCAAGAAGTTGCGGTAAGCCATTCAAGCATTTCTGCACAGGATTTGCCGGAGCAAGATATGGAAAACCGGAATGTTTCATATCAAGGTCAACTATCAGCACCTGAAAATCAGGAGGTTGAGTCTGAATCATCCGATGATGAATAATTTTTTCCTACCGTCTATAATGTGGACTGTAGAGACCCTGTAGGCAACCATATGCCCTTCAAGTTCGATGCGCAGTTTGGGGTTAAGCCTGAACTTGCCGCCGTCGACTGTTCACCTATCTCATGGTAAATCTAATTTATACGCCACCCAACTACTTTCTTCTGGTGGGGACATTACAAATTCATCTCGTTTTCACGCATGGGAGCCAACATCCTGTGAAAAAATTAAGAAATTTGTAGGACTATTGGGATATATGGGAATCGTGCAATTATCCTCTAGTCGCCATTACTGGTCTAGGAAAAATCTGTTCCGATTTAGTGTGGTATCAGAAGTCATGAGTCGAAATAGATTCGAACTTCTTCTCAAGATGTGGCACTTCAGTGACAATGAAAACTGTCCCGAAGGCGATCGAGAACATAAACTTAAACCGCTAATTCAGTCTTTGCTCCAAAAGTTCAAAGATGCTTATACACCCGGATCCGTTTTTTGTATTGACGAGTCCCTGGTACCGTTCAGAGGCAGACTGGTAATAAAACAATATATACCTTAAAAAGCACATAAATATGGCATAAAGCTGTTCAAACTTTGTTGTCAGAACGGATACACATGGAATATCAAAATGTATGCAGGAAAGGAAAGGGATCCTAGTTGTACCGTTCCCACAAAAATTGTAATGCAGTTATCAGAAAAATTATTAAACAAGGGAAGAACTGCCGTCACTGACAACTATTACACTAGTTTAGAACTAGCGCACAAACTTTTACACCACGAAACCCATTTACTCGGTACGCTACGTTGTAACAGAAAGGGGAATCCGAAAGAAGTCACCCAAAAGAGGTTGAAAGTTGGTGAAATTATTGTCAAAGAAAATTCAGAAGAAGTATGTGTGATGAAGGGGAAGGATAAGAGAGATGTGGTTATGTTGTTAACCAGACATACAACAGAAACTGTAAATGTAAATCGCAGAAGTGGACCTGTACAAAAACCAGTAGCAGTTGAAGAGTATAATGCTGCAAAAAGCTCAATAGATTTTTCTGGTCAAATGTCAAGCTACTGTTCGGCTCTACGAAAAACTATAAAGTGGTACCGAAAAATCGCCATTGAGCCCTTCTGGGTACTGTTGTTGTAAATGCCCACTTTCTTTATAATGAAATCAACGGGTAGCACAATGTCTATCACTGATTTTCGAGAAAATATTGTATTGTGCCTTTCTTTTTCCATCCGAAGAGGACCAGAATACTGATACTCCTAGGCCTAGCAAGAAAAGGAAAATAAATAATCATCAATTCAGAAAGAAAGAAAGAAAGAAAGAAAGAAAGAAAGAAAGAAAGAAAGAAAGAAAGAAAGAAAGAAAGAAAGAAGAAAAGAAAGAAGAAAGAAAGAAAGAAAGAAAGAAAGAAAGAAAGAAAGAAAGAAAGAAAGAAAGAAAGAAAGAAAGAAAGAAAGAAAGAAAGAAAGAAAGAAAGAAGAAGAAAGAAAGAAAGAAAGAAAGAAAGAAAGAAAGAAAGAAAGAAAGAAAGAAAGAAAGAAAGAAAAGAAAGAAAGAAAGAAAGAAAGAAAGAAAGAAAGAAAGAAAGAAAGAAAGAAAGAAAGAAAGAAAGAAAAGAAAGAAAGAAAGAAAGAAAGAAAGAAAGAAAGAAAGAAAGAAAGAAAGAAAGAAAGAAAGAAAGAAAGAAAGAAAGAAAGAAAGAAGGGGCTTCCCACAGTGTTCTTAAATATTGTCACGGCTGCTAGGAAAAAAAGAAAAAGGGATTAATTGAAAAAATAAAGTTCCGAAAGTCACTACCTATTGCGAAGAATGCGAAGGAAAGCCACATTTTTGTTTAGACTGTTTTGCTAAATACCATAACTAAAAACTATCTTTTAATTTTTTTATTTTTATATTTCATGACATTTGTGAAACATTTTACGAATAAATGCTGGGCCGCTAACATATCCAATTTATCATAAGCTTGGACCGCTCAGTTTCAAAACTTCAGGTTAGTTGAAAACTTAAAACATTAGTATGTAACAAACTTTCCTATCAGTATTTTTTAAACCCAATTCTGCCGACTATTCCCCACAGGCCATATCGGTAAATGCTTCCTGGTAAAGTTGAATTAAAGGCGGTCCACCAGCCTGCACAGCGACCGAAAGTAATGTGCGTACCGGCGGTCTAATGGACCGCTGTGGCCCTGCCTCCTAACATTCTCAGCGGTCCCTAGGGACCCCCATGGCGCTTAACGTTGGATAGTATATTCAATATTAGGAAACGTTAATTTTTGTATTTTCCAAAATCATTGTAGGGGTGTTTTTTGGGGCGCTTAATCCAAATTTCACGTCGACAACGGTCCCCCGAAAACGTAGTGCACCGGAACCTGGGCCTGAACATTCTCGTCTCTTATTCAAGTGAAACGTCGCTAGTCTGTTCATTTTCTTCGTCATCGACTGACGTATTCATAAGCAATAATGTTTTCAACTGAATATCTTTCAGAATTGTTGCAAGTTGAACCTACAAAAATATTTACAGGCAAGATTGCAAGATACGCCGTGCTTCCTGCAACTGCAGGACAACAGATTACAATCTCCTGCGCATCCACAGCATATTAGTTCCATAATATTCTTGATCGTAGGTTTTTGTGTCATTTCTACAGGGACCAGTGTATCGCCTTCCCTTCTCCACCCCCATTCTGTTGGGTCCATGTTCAGCTGGTCTCCGTGCAGTCAATCTTGCACTTGAAAATAGACAATCTTTAGATGTTGTTGAATGGCGTCTAGTGAAGGGAGTTTTTTTTTAAATTTACTTTCCCCTTTAGAGCGGTTTTTATGTACATTCTGTACCTGTTAGTTTTTTGCGATCGTGTCTGGAAAACCCTCGGAGACGACGTTCAGCCCGAGATTCCGGTACATCAGCTGTTGGGAGGGTCGTTTTCGATGTAAAATTCGGATTTAACGCCCCAAAAGCGCCCCTACAATGATTTTCAGGTTGTTTTTCGAGATCATATGCATATGTTTCATGGTGACCTTGAATATTTTTGCAATTTTCCTGTCATATGTCATGGCGGATATGGCATATCCATGCAATATGCAGTTGAGATATGCATTGAATATTCATGCAATATTTTTATGTTGTCTGGGATCATGCTCATCATCTTCTTCAGAATATTCGTCAATGACGTAATTTGGTGGTAAATAATAATATTGAAAAGTTTATTGAATTCTATTAATTTACATAAATAATAAGAAATCATCATTCATATATATTACATTTTGATTCGTGAAGGTGTTATTCGGTCCCATGCTCAAACCACATTTCATTGGATCACTACTGGAGATTGACAAATAAGCGTTGCTCCACATATTCCCAATTCCCAGTCAGTTTTTTTTTTCGTGCTGTAAATTTCACAAACGAATCCATCTATTCATTTAAAAGAAAATTCGTAGTTTTCATCGGCTAGCTTCTGAAAACAAGCATAAGCATTCTGGTAATTTTCATTCACCTGAAAAATCTTCCACAGCTTCTCTTTATCGATTCGATAAAATGTTAGGTTTAAATCACAACCAGTGAATGCGTGGAATACTGACAAATACAGACAGTGCTTCATATATAGCGGTAGTGTTGACATAACGCTGGTTATTTCCCATACCTATGACCCATACCCCATACCGAATAGTAGCCAAAGTTGTGGAATATGGGCCATGGTGCCCAAAAGTATCACCAAAATATCAGTGTCGGAGCACCGTATCGCAATGTTGCCCGAATCTTTATATTATTCAGGAAAAAGGCGATTTGTATCGGCCTCCTCATGGCCTTCACATCTATAGTCGCTAATAATGGGACATCCAGTGGAACCTTCGATAAAATCAAAGGATAACACGTTTCGTAAGAAACACAGATATATTTACCGCCAATAATGTTGGCAGCTTGTGGCGCGTACATCCATTATTGGATGAGAAACGATACAAGGCCTTTCTTAAACTTTATGTTTTTCAGTTCCTTACTAAAATATTTCGGCCGAGTTTGCTCCGGATCTAATGAAAAAGAAACACGTTACACTTCATTACATAAATTATTTTACCTGTGATGCAGAAATAACAAAACATTCTCTATAAAAAATGTATATTTAGAAACACACAGCATCTCACAATACTGGCCATTTGACAAGTATCGCGTGTAAAGCGTTTCAAAATGGCCGAACAAAAACTATGTCATCAAATACGGGGTGGTACATTCAATTTTTCGCATGATGAACTCGCATAACTTACATGCCATATAAGTTTAACGAAAGTTAATAATTAACCTAAATTTTAAGGCAAAAGGCATACTGATTTTAAATAAAGAATTTTTTTCTACAACTTCGCAATTTTGTACACGAAATTGCATACGTAAAACTCGCACAATTCGTATGTCATCTATTATTATAGTTAATTATGTCATTATTGCATCAACAATAAAATATACTGATTAAATACACAGACAATGTATGACATTTGTTGACATTTAATGATACATATTTTTCATCGTATCAATTCGGGTTTAATTTAAATGACGGAAGAATTATTGCACAACATTGCTAAATGTTCGCTTTATGAGATATACATAGACATGTTTAAACGGTATGGGATCTTACCTGTAGCAAGTGTATGATAAAATAATGTGTATTCTTCATTGGCAGCCTGTTTAAAAATGTGGATAAATCGATGTTTATCATGCATATATAGCTGGGCATGCCCATCTGATGAGTTCTCACTAACTGTTATTCAAATAGCACTTTTATTAAATTTTATTTTAAGACACGTAGCAGCCTGAGTAATATATACAAATCTGATGTGTCCAACACATGACTTTCCTATCTAGTTATTAGGCTTTTTCCGGTTATTTTGTACAACCTATTGTAGAACCTCTATAAATGTTTATAGGATAAACTAAATATATACATTTTCCACATACATCTAACTCAAAACATTTTTCTATAGATATTCATTGAAAACGAAAATACTGAAAAATTTAAATTTACCACTTTTCCTCCAATTTTTCCATTATGGTCCATTTTAGAAAAATCATGTAAAAACAAAAATTAAAGAGACCGATATCGCAAACAACTTTTAGTTTAACAATTTTTTTAAAAATTAAAATTTTGCACATTTCGTCAAATTTTTCGAATACTGACCATTTTAGGAAAATTTGACATGAAGCAAAAATTATAGATAATATTAAAAGTAACTTTTATTTAAACAATTTTCTTCTCCAAACAAAAATAACAGATATATTCCATAAAATATAAAAACGGCCTCTCATAAAGTACCCCCCAGATGTTCCGACTTTGTCCAAAATCTAATAATTTCACGTCAGGCCGAAATAAAATTTAAGTTTAAAATTTAATGTTTTTTTCTTTATCCGTTTTTGAATTTTCTTCAAAATTCGAAATTTACCCATTTTCTCAAATATCTCGAATACAGTCTATTTTAGAGAAATTATGTATAATATAAAAATTATAGAAAATTATATTACAAACAACTTTTATTTAAACAGTTCTTATAAAAAATTAGTTTTTTACATTTTGTCAAATTTCTCGAATACGGATTATTTAAGGAAAATTTTGTATAGAACAAAAAATATTATTAATAATGTTGTAAGTAACTTTTATTTGAAGAATTTTCTTCTCCAAATGTAATTAACAGATATATTCTATAAAATATAAAAATAAAGTACCCCACCAGATGTTATGGTGTGTGTAGGTGCGTGCGTGCGTGTGTGGGTGCGTGCGTGCGTGTGTGGGTGCGTGCGTGCGTGCGTGCGTGCGTGCGTAGGTGTGTGTGTATCCACCATAACTCATGAACCGATACAAAGAAAAACACCAAATTTTATACTTAATAAAATGTAAAAAAAAATAATTTTTTTATAAAAATTGTTCAAATAAAAGTTGTTTGTAATATAATTCTCTATAATTTTTATTCCATACATAATTTCCCTAAAATGGACTGTATTTAAGATATTTGAGAAAATGTTTAAATTTTGAAATTTAAAGAAAACTCAGAAACGGATAAAGAAAAAAACATTAAATTTTAAAATTAAGGTTTGTTTCGGCCTGAGGTGAAATGATTAGATTTTGGACGAAGGCGGCACATCTAAGGGGAGGGGTACTTTATGGGAAGCCGTTTTTATATATTATGGAATATTTATTATAGAAAAATGTGTCGAGTTAAATGTATGTGGAAAATGTATATATTTAGTTTATCCTCTAAACATTTATAGAGGTGCTGCAATAGGTTGTACAAAATAATCGGAAAAAACTATAATAATCAGATAGGAAAGTCATGTGTTGGACATATGGATATATTGGATATTCACAAAATATATTCTGTGGATATCTCTGGGATTTCTTGTATTGTCTGGGAGATACCCATTAGATATTTTGCTAGATATCCATAGGATATCTTCTAAATTCTGGATAAAGACGGACATTTGGATATCCATACTAGATCCACGGGATATTTCTGATATCCTGTGGATATATTGGATATCCACAAAAGATATTCTGTGGATATCTCTGTGATTTGGTGTGTTGTCTGGGTAGTCGATTAGGTATAAACTGAATATTAGTTTCATTATTTTTTATGTAGATTTGTTTACGATTTATGATAATTTTAGAGAATAAAACAATGTTAATTTATAATTGGCAATATACCCAAATGAATTTAGAAAAAGAAATCTTTACGTATATGTATAGAAATCTATACTCATTGATCGAGGGAGCGCACACGAGCTATTTTGATGAGGTTCAGTATAGTTCTAATTCTAATAGATGTCGCGACATAATCGCCTCTAATAAAACATCCATAAGGTTGTTCTACTAGGATATCTAAATGCCATGGTTTCACGTAAAAGAAATAGCCTCTTAACCAAAGCATGATACGCTCAAACCTGACTGCTATTCGCCAGCATAGTAATTTGGTTTTGAATGTTTCCCTACTTTCTAGCCTAGCTGAATATGCTGTGGTCAAGGGACTATTTTGTTTTGCGTTTAAGTTAAATAGAGAGTAAGTAGTCTTCCATTTCAACGTCCCTCCTTATTAGCTATACAAGTATATATTTTATTGTATTAATTTTTAATTATATACTTAAGCCCGAACAAAATTTAAAAGTATATTATTATTTAATGAATACCCTTACAACTGGCTGGTATTCTTTTAATTCCTTTATTTATTACAAAATTGGTAATTTTATGAATTTCTTCTCAGACATTTTTAAAATTTGTTGTGTAACACGACCCCTAACGCCGCCTCTGTACTCTCGTAGCAGCTCCCGTGAGTGCGACGCCTAACGAATGACAGAGAGAGTGAAGTTTGCCGCAATCAATACAGATCGTTTTGACTCTTGTTCAATTTACTTTATTTTATTTGTTACAATTACTAATTATCCAAATATAATCAACTTAATACAGTGCTTTATTTAATTATCTGTAACATCCAAAATCCACTTTACAGTTGTTGTTATTATTATTATTATTATTAATAATAATAATTTAATAAATATATTTTTAATTTTAATTACAAAAAAATGTGTTACAAAAACTTATCAACTAACAATTTCTAACAAAAAATAATATCAACAAGTGTGGTAAAGATCACAAATTATCACAATAGTTTAGCTTCTTCAGCTGTTTCTGGGAGCTTGAGACCGTGCGTTTCTGGTAACTTGATTGCCAAAAGTCCTGCAGTCACTCCAAAAAATCCAAAGAAGAGCATTGGTAACGGATCCCAATAGAGACCCTGCAATCAAAACAGAAATGTAACTAATACGAACGAGAGAGAAGCATATTAATAGACAAATCCATTAAAAAAATGTTGTTTTATGAGATATGATATCTTGAAATTGAGGTTAAAAATATGTATAAGGACAAGGACTCTAATGTCAAAATTTTAAGGTTTGCAATAAGTCTTATTTTAGCATGGAATTTATTTGCCTCTTATTACGTTGTCACTATTAGTGGCTGACGTTATAGAAATTTGTAATATCTCTCTAATATTACAAACTAGAATTTAAACTATAAAATAAATGAATAGATAGATTATTAGATAAATCAAATTTTTTTTCTATAAGATATTGTTCTTTACAATTTATACAGGGTGTTTCAGAACAGTCGGATCAAACTTCCAGGGGTTATTCAGTGCAACAGTAGAAACATTTGAGTATAGGACCCATGTCCGGAAAAGTGTCACAACGGCCCTAAGACGCGTTAAAATTTAGAAAGACGATGAATTGCCTAAATAGGATTTAATGCATTTTATTTTTGCCTTTTGTACATGATATCATTACAAAAATTTTTCAAAATGTCTTCCTCCAACCTGAATACACCGATTTAGACGCCGCACATGATTTCGGCGGACTTGACTAAAAATTTGATGCTCGTTTTAAATTATTTCAAATTCTGTTGTAATTCGTCCAATTAAGTCTTGCTCTGTTTTTACTGGAGTTTCGTAGACCAAAGACTTTACATGTCCCCACAGGAAAAAATCTAGCGACGTTTAATCGGGTGACCTAGGAGGCCAAGAAACTGCTCCACCTCTGGCAATCCAACGGTGCCCAAACCACTGAGCCAAATCCTCACGTACTTGTACAGCAAAGTGAGCAGGCGCTCCATCATGCTGAAACCACATTTGCTGACGAACGTTTATTGGAACATTTTCAAGAAGTCTGGAAGAACTTCCTCCAAGAAACGCCGGTAAATAGGTCCTGTTAACCGTTCCGGTGGAAGGTATGGCCCAATCAAATATTCATCAACAATGCCTGCCCATGCGTTGATAGACCAAGGTTGCTGATGTTTTCTAGGAAATAATTGCATGGGGATTTTCTTCGCCCCAAACATGGCTATTCCTACTATTAAAAATATCGTCTCTTGTGAAAGAGGCTTCATCGGTCCACAAAATATAGTGTAAAAATTTGGTTGTGCAGCGATTTGATGAAGAAGCCATTGACAAAATTAAACTCTAGGATGATAATCGGCTGCAGTCAATCCTTGAACTTTCTAGAAGTGGTAAAGATAAAGTTGTTGCTCGTGTAGCACCCGCCAGACGAAAGCGTTACTCGTATTCATATCCTTAGCAATATGACGTTGAAGGACCTCTTCTTTAAATTCGACCGTTCTTACGGTTTTAGCAACACCAGTATCATGCATGTTGGTTTTAGACAGGCCTGTCTCGGAGAGGCGCCGATGAATAGCAATAAACTTTTTGTATCCCGGATGCTCTCGTTCGGAATACTGTTCTTGATACAACCGCGCTGCTGCTCGTGCATTGCAGCTTGTTGCTCCGTATGCCAAATGCATATCCGCCAATTCTTGATGGGTAAAGTTTTCCATTAGCAACAATTAATATTTGTTAAATTCTTGCAAACTTCACAAATACGATAGTACGTCTAAGGCGATATGGAATGCAGCTGCAAAAAAACAACACCTGTTATCGTTTTTAAAGATAAAAACACACAAGCGCCGGTAAATTGTTTAAAATCATCAGCTATAAAAATTTTAAACATTGACATTGACATTTTGAACAATTGTTTTGATGATATCATGTACAAAAGGCAAAAATTAAATGCATTAAATATTTAGGCAATTCATCGACTTTCTAAATTTTAACGCGTCTTAGGGCCGTAGTGCCGTAGTGACATTTTTCCGGACAAGGGTTCCTGTACTCAAATGTTTTCTACTGTTGTACTGAATAACCCCTAGAAGTTTGATCCCATAGTTCTGAAACACCCTGTAGAATACGCCAATAAAGAGTCTACAGCACATAATACTTAGGTTTTCTCATCGTAAAAGCTAATTTATACGAAAATTAAACTTTAATGGAGATGCAACAGAAATATTCGCTTAACAAATTAACAAAAACTACGAGTACTTACCAGCAAAGGCACAAATGGTGCTAATAAAGCTCCAAATCTTCCTATTGTAGAGGCAGAACCAACTCCTCCACTTCGTACTATAGTAGGCAGCATTTCAGCCGTATATACATATGAAATAGCAAAGGATGCAGTAACTCCCAATTTACCAGTTAAAAACAAAATAATAACAACCCAATTTAGGTTACTATTTTGAACAAAAATCGTTAAAGTACATGTTATCCCACAGAGCAAAAGCGATCCAATCAAAGAAATCCTTCTGCCTAATTTCTTGATGCAGATCCATGCTAAGGTGTAGCCTGGGATTTCTACTAGGCTCACCAAGGCGAAATTTATGTACTTGTTTCCGCTGAGAGCTGTGGAGTTTATAGATAGTCCGTAGAATATAAAGGAGTTTACAGCCCATATGAAATATACAATTACGAATCTCAAGACGAGTTTTCTCGATAGGAACATATCTTTAATCACTGGGTACATTCTGTCGGAATTGTCTTCATCGCTAATCTAGAAAATATAAAAATTTATAAATACATTTATTTGAGGATAAAATAAAAGAAAATAAAAACTTTTTTAAACTGCAACAAAAAAACATTTCTGAAAATAGATACTCTAGTACAGTAAGTTCAAATTAAAAATCGATACCTGTCGGTATCGAAAAAATTGACATCATCAGCTAATTTATTTTTTCTTGTTCCATACAGGTTAAGTGATGTAGATTTTATAATTTACGTGGATTCAAAGCTTATGCAATTTTTTGTAAGTTGCGCTGATTGGGATGCCGATGTCTATTGGAAGAAATCGTTTGAAGCATGTTGGGAAATTATTGTACATTTTGATTTTATCGTATACATGTATACCATGTACAATCGTACATTGTAAATAACAACAAAATTATCGCATAGAACGATAATTATCGAAAATGTGGCAAAACAACATTACAACGCTATGCTACCTTATTTAAAATTCAGAAGGTGTAATTTACTTGATAATTTTGTAACTAATATTCATACAATGTTGCTAAATATATTTAATTAAATTCCTCCACTATGCAAAAATAATAATGATAAATATTAATAAAAATTATTATAATATAGCGAAAATTTGATATGAGTTATAACTACTACCTATCAATATTTTATTGTATATACATATATGGTTATAGGCACCTATATGTCTTTTTACTACAGTTTAAAGAGACGCTTGTAAAGTGTTATTTTAAGCTTATACAGGGTGTTAAAAAAAAGTATCACAAAATAAAACGGGGGATAGTATGGGCCAAAATATGCAGAAATGTCTTAATAAACATATGTCCGCATATGAATGATTTCAGAGATACGGAGTGTTTTGTGTTTTGTATCATTTTTTGATTATCTTTTTTCATTCTCAAAAACTTGCTTTTCTTATCGGAGTCTACCGATGTTTTTTCATAGATACTATTTGCAGTTATTATTTTGTTGTGGGTGAATAATTTTATAAATTTTCGTTATGCCTGTTTACACTAATATTGAATTAGCTGACATGCATTTTATGTACGGTCGTGCAAATGGCAATGCATTGAAATGGAGGGAGGGCACTTTGAACATCTCATTTAACTCTATGTTGTTATTGATTGTTTATAAATATCATTGTTTTTTATAATAATAAAAAATTGTTATAAACACAAAATGGTCCGTATCTCCGAAACCGTTAATTTGCGGTCATATATTTATTAAGACTTTTCTGCTTATTTTGGGTCATACCATTCACCATTTCATTTTGTAACACTTTTTTTTTAACACCCTGTATATTCAAACTTCGCTAAAATAAAAAACTTCACTCAAATAAAAAAGATACGATAAATAGTAAATAGGAGATTTCGAGGGTCAAAACGCAGGACTTTTGTAACAATTTAGAAATTTTTCAGGAGAGTAAAAAAATTATTTTATTTTTGTTCTAAAACATAAGTAATGATTTTTTTTGTAAACATATTTAGTAAAAACAAACAATAAGATTATTATAGCAGAATATAAAAATTTTCTTCTTTTTCTGAAATAAACTACATTTACAAAAAAATAAATAAAAATAATGAAACAAAGGCATAATTAATATATTTAAATATGTGAAATCACACTTCCGAACATAAACTTAAAACTCATTTCCTAACACTAAATACCTATTCTAATTATATCACTTTATTCCAAAAACTGCGAGATCGGGTAATTTCCTAAATTTGAAAACAACATCTATTTACAAAAATATTTTTTATGTACTTAATACAAATAAGATAATATAAAAAAATAAGTAACCAATAAAACTCTTTTCTTTAAAAAATATAAGGCAACTCATAAGGCAACTTCACTTGTGGTTTGACTGTAAGCCTTCTACCATTCTGATGTGCCAGTATTCATGTAACCCCTTACGATCACAAGAAGTAAATTTTGAACAATGACTAGGATTATCTGTTGAGGCAGACTGAGTTTGAAGTCTAGGGAGTCCAATCTCTAATGTTTATAAAAACTCCAACCATCTTTAGGGATTTAGGGATGGTCTGTAAATTATCAGTCCTTTTTTAGTAATTGGAAGAGGCGATATTACATTATTAAAGTCAACATTTTTCGGTCTTATGGGAAGTGGGTGAAAGTTTTCTTTAGAAAATGCCAACTTAAATGTAATTTACCCATTACTATATTGTAAAGCTCTAATATTGGTTACAATAGCCCCATCATTATTTATTCTTGAAGGCCGAATCGACGCATACTTTAAAATACTTTATGGCCGTAGTTCTTGAAAAAATCGTTATCCGTACTCTTTACTTAACAGGGATTTTTCTTACGTGTTAGCTTACTGATTTTCAAATAATTACTAGGCAGATATATTATGGCATACTCAGAATGTGACGTCTATGAAGGTGCTTTGCTAGCTTGATACATAGCAGTCCCTATCTGTGTAAGCATTGACAGAATTATATTTATCCGAACCTAATGAAAGTTAAAAACTTACTTGCAACGTCGAATTTTCTTTAAACGAGTCCATTACGTTGTCAGAAAGTGTAACTTTGTTATATTTTGCTACGTTGATTACAATTTTTTTAGCCTCCGTCCTTCTGCCTTTAGCCAAAAGCCATCTTACTGATTCTGGTACAATCCTAAAATAAACAAAATACGTTTCTAAGAGACATTTTTGATCAATTAAAAATCATTTTTTGTACAAATTTTACGTTACCAATAATATAGCATAAAAATAGCTGCTGGTGCTGAAACTATGAGTTGTAAATGTGTCCAATCCGGTACCCAGTAGGAAATTGGTGCAACAACTGCTTCGCCTAATGCATAAAAGTAGTTCAAAACGAATCCAGTAAATTCTCTTTTTCTTTTACCTACCATCTCAACACCTAAAAAAATCAGCCTAAGTAGAAATTCACTAAGATTGTAGTTAAATATTATTCTTAATGTGGATATCGAAATTTGAATTATGACGCGGTGAAAAAAATATTCGAACAGAGGTAGAGATGAATCGAATGATAAAAGGAGTTACATGAAGCCACGTAATTAGGAATTAATACATTAAGGGTAATTTATATTAATAACTATAGGCGAAGTGATGAATAAAACAGATTATGAGGTAAAATAATATATTATTATTTATTTCTTAATAAAACTTAATTTGATTATGAAACAATACATAAATCTGTAAATATAGCAACGCAATATTATAGTAAAGATAAACACTTTTAAAATATATCAAACTTAAGTTTCGTAAAGAAAGGTGTGGAGCTGAAACATCATTTGTAGGACCTTAGCCGTTTTACGGTATTAGAAAAATTAGGAGATAATAAATATGAATTGTGCGGTACAAGAATCAACAACTGGAACGATCTCTTGGGACAAAGACAGGCATATATATTTCAAGGTAACTACAACCAGAACATATCGAAACCTTGCGTCTGTCTGAGCAAGAACAGGCTACGTATAATAACGGGGATCCTAAAGAGGCATTACCGACTCAAAAGACACCTTAGTAAACTGAGACTAGTAGCTGAGAGTGAGGAGGAGTAAGGAACCTCCATTCCCTTTTTGACTAAATGTATAGCACTAAAGAATCTAAGGGCACTATAGAAAGGAGCATATTTAATAGAAGAGGAAAATATGGCCTACTTGCAGCCGCTCTAAATCCTACATTTACGTGGAAAGATAGAAATGAAAAGGTCGTTACAACATCGAGGCTGTTCCTTGCTGCATTAACAACAGAAGGGGACACAATAGATATTTTAGGTCCCCCCATACCTAACATAAGTAGATAGTGCAAACAAAAATAGTCTAACAAAAATGCTGACAAAATACAAAAATGTGTTCCAGACACTTTTGAAAATGATAATATTTTTTTAGATTATATGGATTGGATCAGTATAAGCAATGCCTGTTTGATTTCTTTTACTGTAAAAAGTGTAATTTCTTGTGCAAACATTGGGAACAATTAATGGAATCTAAACTAGTAAGTAGAAAAGATATCAGATTGTGAAGTATTTTGTTGAAGAAAGACTACTAACTATTCATTACTTTGGATGCTGTTCAAGCGAGCCGTAATAGTTTTCAGAAAAATCAGTCTAGATTATAAAACAACTAGTAATTTTCTTGATATTTATATTTTTGTAATTTATTTTAATAAATACATTTTATACTGTGAATCCTTAAGTATTTCGATAAGATTTAAACCTCAACAGGTTACGGGCCCAGAACCCAACACGCTGGATATCCAGAAAATCGTAATTGTGGAGTAGATAACTAAGAAACGTTAGCATCTAAAGTATTAACTAGGAATCTAAAAATTTGATTTACGAAAATGAATTTTGCAAATATATCAAGAATTGAGTATCTGAGTAAAGATAATTACGACACCTGGAAAATACAAATGGAGGTACATTTAATAAAGTATGTTGCTTGGGTGTAGGTAAGTGGCCAAACGCCGATACCAATATTGAAAGACGGTAATCCTATCGGACAAGGAATTTCAGAATTGGATGAAGAATGAATAATAATTAAGCTAAATCTGATCATTTTATCAATACATCTATCTGAATTGAAGCAAATTAAAGGCTGTGGAACTTCTAAAGAAGTATAATTAGAAAGTATATACCAATCTAAGGGGCCTGCCCGTAAATCTACATTACTAAAGCAGCTTACTTTGTAACATATGAACGAGAGCGAGAATATTCGTGAACATGTAAAAAGGTTTTTTGCCCCGGTGGATAAATTATACGAAATATGAGTCCACATTAATCCAGACTTGCTATCCATAATGCTTCTGTATAGTTTACCATCTATTTTTCAAAAATTTCGATGGGCAAAAGAATCACGTGATAATTTACCTTCTCCTGATATTTTTCTAGTTAAAATTGAAGAAAGTGCCGCTCGAAAAAATAAAACAATAATAATTTCTCAGGATGCTTGTACACTAAAAAGAATTTTCAAATTCCGAACAGACTGACTCTCCTGGATCAAGCAGCGGTACAGGAGCATCGACGAACAAAAATGAAGAAATATAGTTTCCGATGTTTTAAATGCATCTAAATGATGAAAAAATAAATTTGGCAAATAATTAGTCAACTAAAACTGTAGCTCGTAGTAGCGTATCTTTCATAGCTGGCATTTTTGGTGATTCAAAAGTAATAACATTAAGCAACGCTTTGCTTGCCCCAAATTGGTTCTGACGAAATCGTAAAATTGGTTGCTGATCGCATTGGAGAACTATATTATGTTCGTGAGTGTAAAAATTCAGTCTATAATTCCCAACCTTCTTATGATAACCTTAACACTTGGTATCGTCTATTAGGGCATTTAAATATTAGGGATCTTCTAGATACAAATCGTGAAAACTTCATGATTGGCCTAAATTTCAAAAATCGTGAAAATTTTGAATGTGATATTTGCTGCCAAGGCAAGATGTCAAAAGCCCCTTTCCCAAAAATGTCCTCTAGACAGAAAAATATTTTAGATTTTATTCACACTGATGTGTGGGCTAAATATTTTATTAAGTTCATAGATGATCATTCCAGATGGTGTGAGGTTAAATTTTTTCATTCAAAAGAAGAGGTTCATCGAATAACTGAGGATTACATATCATTGGTAGAAAACCAGAAATCTACAAAAAAATATTTTTAATCCGATAACGGTAGAGAATATACCAATAAGATATGTTAAAGGTCAAAGGAATTAAAAGACATTTAACATGTCCTTATACCCCACAAAAAAGGAATTGCAGAGCGGAAGAATAGAACATTATTAGATAGGTACCGCTAGACGTTTACTTGTGCAATGTCCAACAAAGAGTCTTAACGGAAAAACTCCATATGAAGTTTGGACTGGCAAGAAACTAAATGTAATTTTTTTAAAGAATTTCGATACCGAGTTTTCTGCCTAAATAAAAATCCAGCCAAAGGAAAGCTTGATACTAGAAGGAAGGCGTATTACTGGGATATTCGAAGCAATCAAAAGGGTATCGAATTTGGCTTATGAAAGAACGAAAGATTGAAATAACCAGAGATGTAATATTTTTTGAAACTTCTAAAGTCAAATTTGAAAAATTTACAATGAAATTGACAATGTAACTAAAATCGTAGAATTAGTACATTTAGAGGAAGAAAATATGTAGAGATGTTGAAAATCTACCGGAAAATGAGAAAGAAGAAGACAGCACAAATCAGAATACAAAATGTAAACGCAGACAAGGTAGACCTAGACTGGATAGGTCAAAAATTATATTATATGGCAGAGGAATCAAATTTAGGTAAATAAATAGCCTTGACTACATAAATACTTATGAAACTAGCCATTTCTGAACCTGATTCTAGTGAGTGGTTGCATGCCATGGCAGAAGAAAAGAATCTATTTAAAAAAATGATACATGGTAACGCACTGACCGTCCAAATGATCAACAAATAATAGGTTGTCCAATAGTTCTATGTAATAAATTCAAAGCTGATGGTACCACGAAAAGAAGGAAAGCACGTCTTGTGGCACAAGGCTTTGGCCAATCAAACTTTTGCTCCAGTTGGTCGCTTGAGTTTAATCAGACTTCTAATAGCCTTAGCTGCTCGATTCAAGATGAATATTGGAGAATTTGATAATACATGTGCTTACCCAAATGGAGAAAGTGAGGAAGAGATTTTCATGGAATCACCGAAATCGTTAATATAAATTTTAAGGATAATTATAGATACAGAGGGTTCCAGCACTATTGTAACCAAAAAGGCTACAGAAATGTTGGATCACCTTCTTGAAGGTAAAAAAGTATGTCTCATAAAGATGGCCCTGTTTGGACTAAGTCAAGCAGGAAGAAGTTGGTATCACAACTTGAATAACGTTTTAGTAACACTAGGTGTTTATACCGTGTAAATCAAGGGGAATAATTAACACTGATTGTAATTTATGTAGATGATATTTTGATCGCCTCGAAGAATCCAAATATATATATAAACTCTATGAAAGACTTCCCCGATATTTTGAAGTAAATAACTTGAAGGAGAAAGTGGGTTATTGCCTCGAAATAGAATTTTCCAAAAAGAAAAATAAAATAACTACTTGAGCGTTTCGAAATGATAGATTCAAACCCTGTCTCAACACCTATTGATTCCGATGTAAAATTAAAGAAAACTAAACAACCTTGTGACGACGACATAAAAACCCTTGCCAAAAATTAGTAGGTGCTCTAACTTATTTAAGTACAACTACGAGGCCAGATATAAGTTTTGCTGTAAGTTACTTAGGATAGTTTAACAACTGCTACAGTTAAATTCACTTGACTGCTGCAAAACGTGTCCTATGCCACTTGAAGGGAACAGACCTGATCAAGAATATTTAAAGAGCTTCGTTGACGCCGATTGGAGAAATTGTTTGGACGACCGCAGATCATTTTCAGGATATTCATTTATTTTATCTGGATGTCCAATATCGTGGGATTTGAGGAAACAACACATTGTTTTATTATCTTCTACAGAGACATAGTAGATGGGAATGTGTGAATCCTCAAAGAAAGCAAAACACTTTTATAATTTTTTAAATGATCTGGGACTAAAAAATCTAACTGATATTGTTATCTATAATGATAACCAAAGTGAATGACTCAATGTTTCATAGTAAGAGCAAGCATATAGACTTAAGATTTGACTTCATCAGAAAATCTATCAGAAGCAGGAAGGTTCAAGTAGAATACGTATCAACTCAGTTAATGCTTGCTAATAAATTTACTAACTAGATCAAAGCATACTATTTGTGTTAATTTGTTAGGTCTAGTCACATACTTTGATTACTATACGGTGCAAGAGAGACGTCCGACACGCTTAACCACATACTTCGATTTTCTCTTACTATACGGAGAATGGTCGCACTGCGCAGC